ATCCACATTTTAAGTGTGCTACTGGCTCAAGCTTTTGGTTGACTGGTCTAGGGCTCAAGGAGGAGATCCAGTCCCAGTTTGTCGTATTCCGAATGATTTTGTGCAATAAAGTCATCAGGCAAAATTGACGTTTCCTGGTCAAGGAAGATGGCACCACTTCCTTGATTTGAAGGTTGACTGAACATTGCTATTAAAATGGATCTTCAACTTTTTTTATTTTCATTTTTATAAAGATTTGGGTGGTTATTGGTTGTAATGATACATTTTTTTCTTTTGTAATCTTGCATTAGTGGAGGATAGCATGAATGTTGTCCAGAAGATGTAAACTTTCAAGAAAAGAAAAAAAAAAAAGTTGTATAAGATATATATATATATACAAGGGCTTTTATTGTGCTAGAATTTGTCCTTGAAGTATTTTCATCTCGCCATTGGGGTTTGTTATTTCTGTTTGATATATATATGTATTTGAAATGGGTTGCACATAATTATATATATATATAAAATAAACCGAGGGAAGTGTAGTTATATTTATTTCATCTATGGCGGTATTCACCTGTGTAGTTGAGTTTAAGGTTCACAGGATGTGGCCTCTATCATCGTGACAGTCCAGTTTCCATAGAGGGTGTACTGTAAAAGAGATTTGTATATACAAACTACTTCAAGAATTTGTAAATGACTGTCCTGTCTGGCTTGACTAAGCTGATTGTCTTTTTCCAGATCACAATCACCAGTGGGATGGGTTATTTTTTTTTTTTTCCTTTATGTGGATGTATAGACTTGGGTATTTGCTTTCCAATTTCCAAACCTTCCCAGTTTTCAAACATTATATCATCGCTAGTCACCTATAGTAGGAAGATCATTTTTTCTTTTCTTTTCTTGGTTCCTCTTTCTTACAAACGTTGTTTCTTTTATTAGTTGAATATATGGTATGTGAATACTGGAGTATTCTTACCATTCATCTTTTTTTTTTTCCTAATGTCAGAAATTGGAAGAAGCAAAATATAAGTTCTAAATTTTGTTGTTGGATTCGGTGTGCATGCATGTATGGCGGTGTGGATGGGCCTGTATGGAAGTCAAATTATAATTTCTGTATAAACATCATGTACAGATTACCAAGTGAAAAGTTAATAACTGCAGTTAGAACTTTATAAATTTATTGTTAAGTTCACTGTAAAAAAAAAAAATAAAAGATAGTTCGTATATAAGGTTTGTTTACATATTGTTCCTAAGAATGAATTTTTCTTCAGTAAGACTGAAACTGAGACCCACTTCCATAAATATTCAAATGAAAAATCAGAACTCTTTCAATAGTGACCTTTTAACCATCGCGTTGTTGTTTGCTTATGGAATAAGATGCACATAAGTGGAAAGCAATGAAAATCACCTTTTCTCTTTTGTATCTTTAATTAATTCTGTATAATCCAAAGATAGGAGAGAAGAGAAATAACCAGACTTTATATAGGTATATCCTGACATAAAGTATGTGTATTCACATGCTATACACTAAGGCTGAAATTAAGTAAAAAATAAAAAAAAAAGGTAAAATAGTTTACAATCCCATACCAAGTACATATTTGCATTTGCTGGCTAGTATTACCTTAACCAGTTCCTCTACATTAATTCTTTCTTACACGGTTTCAAATAATAAGCATTTTGGATTTACACCATGTAACATAAATCACTTGATAATGAATCCAGTATAATTCCAGTTAGATACACAGCTCCAGTTCAGTAGATGGTATACCAGGTAAGTCTTGTGTATGTTAATATCTTTATACTATATTAATTCATGGTAAGAAATTACCTCATTGGTAATAATGGTTGTATCTTTCACTTCATACCATGATTTTATGACGCTTATAAGTTACTCAAGATTATGAATGGATAGTGTAAAGAGGATAGAAATGAATTAGTGAGTAGGAGATGCACTTTGAGGCTTTAATTCATAGCAGCTGTTTAATCGGATACATTATTCTACACTGTTCACTTTTGTCTGGACTGATGTAAGATATTCTTCCATTAAAGTATTACTTATTAGAAAGTTCTTGAAGTGTATATTCTTGCTCTGTCATGTAGGTGTTTTTTTTTTCTTTTTATATCATTCATTCATTTGTAACAGGATGTGGATTTGTTTCCTGGGCGATAAAAATGTGATTATTCAATTTGTGGTTACACTATTGCAATTTACCCGTTTAATTATGGTTATTATTGTAATTATCATTATTTTCATTCATAACTATAATCATTATTATAATGTTGCTGATGTGATTATTATTATTATCATTATGCTAATGGCGCACCGAATTTAAGTAGATATGAAATACTACGCAACCATTTTTTTAATGTGCCTATGTCTAGATAATAATGTGTGCCTCCTAAAAGCGGTCATGCTTTCATCATTAAACAATTTAGCGATTTTATTTTTTAATCACTGAATTTAGCGATAAAGCAGCAGTCTTGGCACATAAGCCTGCTGCTTTATCGCTAAATTCAGGCAACAAAACTCTCACCTTGAATCGATTTCCAACGTTAATCGCAAGGGTTTCTGCCGCATCATTCTTCGCAAGACTAACACGCCGATCACACCGAGACCTTTCCGCCGAGCAAAGAAAGTCTGAGGGGAAATGACCTTTATTTTTATGCCAACTTCAACTTGAATGGTTCATGGTTAATGGTTAAAAGCGAAATAAATGGAAAGTGGCGATTCATGCGCTATAAGGGAAATAACCATTGCTTTTATGCCAACTTCAACTTGAAAAAAAAACAAAAATGGAAAGTGACGATTCATGCGCTGCAAAACATTTAAATTCAAATCCATGGGTATCGCTGGTTACGAAAAGATTTCTTACGCTGATCGAACGACTAAAAGCTTTAACAACCAAGGAATTATAGCGCGGCGCAGTTTTTTCTAAATTCTTTTCCTTGTGAGGCGCAATATTATTTACATATGCGCACCGGTATTTTGAGTGCTCTCCGAATATATTTAGTGCGCAGTGCACTTTTCGGTATTATTGGAAATGCTATATTTAATATTGATACCTAATATTAACATACATACTAATATTAATATTAACTAACATACCACACCTAATATTGAGCCAATTTGATTCGTTCGTGAACGTGACGTGACCATAGACATTCAATAGAACCAATCAGATATGGAATAGATCACCACGTGACAATAGAATCTGGGCCCAGGAGAAAGCAGATGAAATTAAAATCAGTTTAATCATAGCTACACAGCGCGCGCAGATTGTGAGAACAATTATTTCGACTTTCTCGCAAAATATCATAGTAATAACGAAGCTAGTTTGCAATTATGAGATCACGGTGTTATTCCAGTGGAAGTACAGTGTCCGCAAAGCAAGACACCGTGTCATTATAGAAAAGACAGACACCAGGGGGTTTGTGGTGCGTGGACAAAGATCGCGAAGACAAAACGGAGAAAAAAAAGTGCAACTATACGGTAAGCGATTACAAAGGGACATTTCTCTCGGGAACTAGACTTGTACCCTATCAAATTCCTTCATCAATCACTGACTAAGCAAACCCGTTATGGGGTGCCTCCATATTGCCGGGAAGCTGTGCCCTCGCAATTCCCGCCAACAATGACTTGGATGACCCCGACGATCCCAGTGACCCGCAACCTGGCCTGTCGGGAGTTAGTGCATAGTGTAAGACGTGGTTGAAAGGTTCCTGGGTCTGGGTTCTCCTGCCGGAACATACGAGGTGAAGATTTTGCAGACTAGGCGGGGGGGGGTGAAGGGGTCGGCAAGCCCTCTTTAGCTAGTACAAAAAAAATAGTCAAAGTTGGTCCCATATCCGTGTCAAATACCTGGTTTGCCCGGACTCGGTAAATTTGGATTGCTAGTGTTTTACCGATATTTTATTCGTCTAAAATAGCCTGTGGGGTTGCATTTCCAAATTTACCAACTTTTCAACCAAGGAATTGTAAAAACACCTTTTGCAACTTTCACTTTACTTGAAACTATTCTTGTTGTCAAAGAAAGGCGATCTTTTATTTTTGATCACCAGCATTAGTTCTGGCAAAACTGTTTTATTATGGCAAGTGTTATCTTTCGATTCCGACATTATAAATTCCGGGGCCGAACCATAATCACACACTACGCTTTGCTTTACAAAAAGGGTTTATAAGTGACCTTTGATCGTGGTTTGGGATGTAGGCGATGAGATGCTACATTAGGAAAATACGGCAACTGACTTCATTTGTCTGTAATAAGTCGCTCGCCATCTTTTTGGTGGAGTTGTGTGGTGTATTAACCTTTGTTGAATACGTTAACGATGAAATCTAGGAATAATTGAAATGCCAATCTTGTATTTGTGTCTCGCTTGGTCGTAATTAGTTACCCATTTGCTACTGACGCCATTGGCAGTTCTTTACTCAGTCATATCGGCGTAAGTCATTGGGCGCCATTGTTGATACCACATCCGCAACCCATGCGAATCCGATGAAGGAGCATAGGCTTCGGATTATATGAAAACTTATATGTCAGTCATAACGTTTGTACTTTAGTTTAATTTAGCAAATCTATTCCGTGTATTACGATTTCGTATAAATCCTTGCAGTATGATATAAAGGTAATTAATTATTATTAACTCCAAACAACGCCGAAACCAAGGCCATTGCGTCGAATTCGAAACATTTCCGGTAATGGCCGGCCTAGAAAACTGCAGTCGCTGAAATAGGTGAATTTTATAGCATTTCCCGGTTGTTGTTTTTTAAACGTAATTAACCCATCCAGTCCGATCTTTCAAAATTGAGAGGTGATGGTCAGTAGAAAATTGGTCAACACGAACACGGTTCATTTTTAACGGTACTTTTGTCGCGAAGGAAGGAAGGGGGAGAAGGGAACTGACCTGACCTGACCTCCTTTGCCCTCACCTCAGATTCTTGTTTGGTTTGCTGGCCTCGGGGATGCTGGCCTTGGTGTCATGATATAATGAAAATATACTTGTGTGTCTGGGTATTTTAGTCGGTATTTTAGTCTTGGTTATCTCTCATTATCTATTCGTATTTTTTCACTGCTGGTTATTTATTACTGTCATATCATACCATCAGTACATACTATTTATCACAGTATATTATTATTATTTTATTATTATTATTATTATTATTATTATTATTATTATTATTATTATTATTATTATTATTATTATTATTATTATTATTATTATTATCATTACCATTAATATTATTATATATTATTATTATTATTATATTATTATTATATTATTATTATATTATTATTATTATTATTATTATTATATTATTATTATTATATTATTATATTTATATATATATTTTTATTATTATTTAGTTATTATATTATTATG